TTTACACCGAATGTTACAAATTTCAACTATATGCCGGCCCTGTTTTTAAGCTAAAAAGATATGGGTTTTCTTTTTTAATGATGGATTGTTTTCGTTGCGATCTTTTGATAGTTTTGTAATAATTCCATTATCATCCACCCTTAAAATGACTATGTTTTTCTACAAGTTTGTAGTAATCATCGCTTTTGGGTAGTTTTCCGTATAATAAATTTTATAAAAACAACACGTTTGTTCCATAAAAACATGATATCAAAAAAATCGTTTTTTTATGATTGTTTTTATTCTCTCCTAGCTATGTATTTTCATCATTCTTTCTTCTGTAACATGCATCTGATTGCAATAATCGTGATAACGACTAATGCCCGTGTCAATGACATACTGTAATAAATTTTGAGAAAGTTAAATCCCCGAACCTGTTTAAAGGAATATTAACAACAAAAATTACAGTTAAAATGAATAATATAATTATTATAAATTTATGTATTTATATTTTTGTGCAACAGTCAGATGTAGGACTGCAAACCCGTTCTGAATCGCACCGAACCGTTTTTTCTGTAAATGAACCGAATAGTGAACCAAACCGTTACCTAAAAAACTCTTGAACCTAACCATCAGCCGAAAGCGAGGTGGTTCGGGTCGAGGTACGTTTATTGTACGGTGGTTTTACAATAAAAACTATTTCTTAAAGTGACTTTCGCAATACGCATATTATAACTACTTTACAATGAAATTTAATAGATGTGATGCGATGGCTTCTGATCAAGTCGAAGTGAAACATCCGATCTGTTCTTCAACATTCGAATGAATTCTTTGAGTGCACACAAGGAACACATTGGTCAAGTAAGGGGTTTTTTAGGGTTTTATTTAAATGAAGAAAATGTCCAGTATATAGCGATAAAATGATTTGTAACTGTCCATTTGAGATGATAATTTGAACCTATTGATATTGGTTTTTGTTTCCGAGTCGGGTGTAGCTCCCAACTGTGTAATAGAAGATATTTGTTTGGTTAAATTCTCTCAAAATATTGCGTAATCCCCAAATGTCATGTCCTGGGTTTCATCCTCCATTGGTGAGAGGTCTCAAATGGATAGTCTATATTTGTAGTTTTCCGTCTGTGGGTGTAGCCTTCGGGTTTTGCTGAATTTTAATATTTATACCCTACAACACTATGTGTTGGGGGTATTATAAGTTTGATTGGGCCAGAATTTATGTAACACCTCGAAATATTGGTTTCCCATATAGGAAAGTATATATGGATCTTCCTAGCTCGCCGAGCTGAGTCGATCTAGCTATGTATGTCCGTCCGTCCGTCTGTCCGTCTGTCCATGTTAATTTGTAATCACTCTACAGGTCGCAATTATTGCCCGATCTTCACGAAATTTAGAATGTAGGTGGGGTTAAGGTCAGAATAGAACCCTATTTCTTTTGGAGATGATCGCATAATATTTAGTTGATTTAGTTGAAATGGACCAAAAACTAAAAAAATTCCTGATTTTGCAGTTGCTCTACAGGTCGCAATTATAGACCAATCGACGCGGAATTTCGCATGTAGCTAGAGTTTAGGGCTTGGAAGAAGCCTACCAATATGGGTGGTCATCGGATAAAGTAAAATGGAACATATATTTTGTTTTGAAAAAATTTAAAATTTTTCATTAAACCGCGAATATTTTAAATCCCGGCGAAATCACAAAGCCATAACAATTATACTTCTGATCTTTACATTGATATTAACATCAATCAAATCGGATATATAGCAAAATATGTGCGATATATATGTCTATCAAAGAAGATATGCTTAAAAGATATCTTATATGTCGAGAACGGCTGAACTGATTTCGACAGTTCTCATTAATTCTGAATGGCCTCTTGACAGGAAAGAAAAAACGTCTAAAAAAATCGCATAAAAATATCTCTCTAAAGCTGAAAATATTGATTTTGTAAAATTTTCTCATATTTTTTCAATTTTGTCATATTTTTGGCATATTTTCATTTTGAATTAAACATTTGGTAATATTTCTACAGCTAACAAAACTAAGTAGTTAGGATATCAGGATATCATACACAGATCGCATTTATGGCCCGATCCCTATGAAATTTTGCATGGGGTAAGATGAGGGTCAGAATAGAAGCCTACTCTTTTTGGAGATAATCGCCATATATTTAGGGGTTGAAATGGACAAAAAAAAAAATACTGCAAAATTGTCAGCAAGTCGTAATTATTGCCCGATCCTCACGCGCATTTGAATGGAGGTTACCGGACATTGCAAAAGCCAAATAGTTTTGGATGGCCATCCAAAAATATTCAATGTGTGAAATAGTTTGCCAACTTTTGTAGACAAAATACAAAAACATCCATTCCAGTGTCTTTTTGGAGAATTCACAAATACAGGAAAGACGCACTTCTGACTATTTCGATAAGGCTGATTTCGTTGAAGAATATAGTCAAATGTCTGTGTCTCATATAGATGCGTTTTAGTCAAAAACCAATAATAAATGTTAATCTTTTGCCACTTCTGAGATATTATAGGTCTTTGGGAAATATTGGTTTCAGATCTAGGAAGACCATTTACGTGCAACATCTACCAATAAATTGGAAATGAGCAAATTAGTTTAACTTGCTATTATTCGAAAATTAGAGAACGAAACCTGATGGGTTTCTTTTATTATTTTTCACAATATCTTGTGGAATTCTTTCGAGTATCTGGCCTATATAAACTGTATCATTTATTATAGTGTTGTAGGGTATTCAACGGTCGGCCCCGCTCGACTGTAGCCTTTGCTTACTTGTTTTAATTTTAAGTCTGTTATTTCTTGAATCTTCAAAATTTATTAAAATATTTGTTAATTAGGGCTTGAGCTTTTTATATTTCGCTGGATAATAAATAAATGAAATGTAATGAAGCTATAAATCTTATATATTTTTTTTCTGCCAATTTCACATTTATGTATCCCTAAATTAGAGAGTTTTCAATTGTCTTTCTTAATATGATACAGATTTAAATTATCATAGTTATATTAAGAAATATGAATTAAGTTTTTTATTTCTGTTTTATTGCTAAATAAGAAACAAATATGATTACCATTCCGCAAGCATTGCCATTAAGCGTTCGATTCTACTAAACTTCGAGAACTTTGAACTATGTGTTAAAGTACAACAGAAATTTGCTCAGGTCATATGACCGACCTATTGAACTTGGCCCCAAGAAATGTTAGTATTTGCTTCGTTTCAAAGAAAAAATCTCTCATTGAGGAAACCATTCACTAAAAAAGTAAATATTGCTTTTGCAAAACTGTCATGACAATATGGTTATTTTGGCGATTTAAGGTCACTTAGGTACGCATGTGAATCAGTACATATGTGCACATGCTGAATTTTATGTCGATTTTATTGTGAACATTTACCTTATCATCGTTTTTAATACCGTGTACTATGGACGTGATTTCAAGTCGGGCTATTGAACGGCAGTTATTGTAAATCCACCTTTGTGTGACAGGGTGTTGTTGTAATTAACGCTTTAAAACGCACATATCATTATTATTGGCATGGATCATCCAATCCAGTGGAGGAAATTAAAGTATGACTAAATCGTACGAGCTTTCGAGATTAGAACTAAATTACAATCATTACCTTCACCAGTATGCATGCAAATTCATTATTGTTTTTGTATGGACGATTAGCATTTGTTTGTGGTTCATTTCACTTGACCAACCAGCTCAACAACAATTTTGGTGTGATTATATACACATCTGTGTTTTAAAGTTAAAGTACATATGCTACAATTCCATATTAGGGCGATGGTATTATGCTAGAAAGCCTCATTGAAATACTTGATGTATTAAGCTATGTTGGGTTTCAGGACATAACTCGAGGATGTTCCGTGTCGATTGATATACCCATTGATGAGACGTTTTAACCACAAATAATAAAAAATCTCTTATCGAAGAAGCTGGCAAAAGATGAAACTTAAAGACCTGTTGTAGGGTATCAAAGGCCATCTGTTCGTTTTTCTCGAGAAGAAGAACAAGATCCCTTCTATCTCTTATCATAATGACTTTCCACTGTAGTATCACATATCGGACCTCAAGATGGGATAACAGTGTTCCTAACTATTGTAGACTATTTGAAGATAAAGAATGTCCTATTATATGCAACAAGAGACATGTACTATTTGACAGGTGGGAGATATGAATTCTAACGTTCTTTCGCCTAAGCAGTCGGAATTTATACATGTCGTTGAAACAAAAAATAACGCAAACGGTACATGTTTGCCAAAACCATTATCTGGCTAAACAGATCGCCCTGCTAACCGCGCGACCTTTCTCTCTCTCTATAAACCACTCCTTTTTATACCTTCCACCATACTGGGGAGGATATATTAACTTTGGCATTCCGTTTGTAACTCCTCGAAATGGGTACTGTAACCTATGAAGGAAATTTGTCTATGCGAGTCCACGTCTTCGCAGGGACATTATTAATCGGAATTCTTTTGCATTTGACGGAATTGTTTCAAATTTTGTGTTTGAAATTCGGAATCGATACTACGCCTATGACAAAAAATTACTTATTATGACAAAAAATTATTTATCGTTTGAGAGGTATTTTCGACGGCATTTTTTTTTTGAAAATTTTCAATTTCCTTCTAAATGTAGTTTCCAGTTGCCGACTACCGTGTAGCTGCGCATCCTTAAACCGTTATGCTAGTAAAGGAAACCTCAAAAGGAAGTCAAGTTGTGACGCGTATTTGATACCCTTCATGTTTTGACACATATGCAATATATTTTAAAACATGATCATTATCAAATATGTCACAACTCGAACTCTTTTCGGGCTTTTCTATTCTAGCATAATGATTTTAAATACAAAAAATCAGATAAATCTGAACATTTTGTTCACCTATTTACACTTAGAAATTGTTAATTATTGATCCCTCATATATATCAAATATTAACCACACACTAATAATTTCTTTATCGGCTGTTTCGCATTTTCTTTTTTCAGAATTGTGTCTGGTATGGAGTCTGCGATGTTGATGCATTTGACCATAGCAAGTATTGTGCATACAACGGCACGGCTAAACCCATTTCTGACGAGGGTCGCAATCTCTTGAAAGAAAGATGCTCCCACCTGCTAGACAATGGCGCATCCGATTTCTGTTGTGATAATAAACAGGTATTATTTACACAACTACCCATGTCGCTCAGATAATATGAATTGCAAATATGTTTATCCGCTTTTAGGTGGAGATTTTGAATAAGAATATAAAATTAGCTGCAAATTTTCTGGATCGTTGTCCATCATGTATGGCAAATTTGGTTAAGCATTTATGCGAATTTACATGTTCGCCTAAGCAGTCGGAATTTATACATGTCGTTGAAACAAAAAATAACGCAGACGGTAAGTTTATTTTCATGTCTGTTGAAGAGGATATTGCTTGGTCAAGAATTGATTTCGAAATTTGATTATTTAATCGTTTTCTTTTCCGTTTCTGTCACATCCTCAATAGGTAAACCATACGTCAACAACATCGATTTACATATAACGGCCAATTACACAAATAGCACATACAAATCTTGTTCTCAGGTAAGATATATAAAAATAGTTTGAATTAAATATTAAAAAGTGTCTGGAAATTTGCATAAGAAACAAAAAAAATGTTAGTGAAGAAATATCATTGGCATAACAGTACAAGAAAATAGTGTTTGTTTTTAGCCAGGTTTTGAGTTCAAAGCACCGCCGTGATTACTGTTTTAACTCTCATTCCAAAAAAGTGCTTCTACGAAATAACTCTGAGGTTAAAGTTGTAAACTTATAATCTTAAATAAAAGCAAAATTACATACATATTCACACATAGTCGTTCCTACTCATTGGTTGCCAAAGTTCATACGTTTGTAATTTTTATGTTAGCTTCTATTATTATTAGTTTATGTTATTCGCCTTGTTTTTAAATAAAGTTCAAATTCCGTTATTTCACTAAACATTAAATTATTAGAAAATCTGTTATATGGATATTTACATGATGACGTCATTCTTATAATGCAAATAAAATTCTTGACTTATAATATGTGTACCTTCCGCTTAAATGGTGCGAGCTTTTTATAATGATAAAACACTAACATAAAATTAATTATCTTTCTTCTCTTAAATATTATTCGACTGATCAATATTTTTAACGTAATTGTTTATAGGTATCTGTGCCATCAACGGGCCAACTTGCCATGGACATTGTTTGTGGCGATCACACAGCTTCACGTTGCAGTGCTACTAAATGGTTCACATATATGGGTGACGTCAACAATATATATGTACCTTTTCAAATTACATATGTCCAGCATCAAAACAGTTCGTCAGTGATTGACGGCTACCGTCCATTGGATCCACCAACAGTTCCTTGCAGTAGTCCATTAAACGTATGTGCTTTATTCATATACATTGAAGTGGTACTAAAAGTTTACGTTTTCGTATCTGGTTGTTTTTTTTAGGATAAGACTCCGGCATGTTCCTGTACCGATTGCGAAGCATCCTGTCCTATACCACCACCAGAACCACCAGCACCTCAGCCATTCATGATTGGTGGAGTTGATGCTTTTACCGTGATAATGATAGCTGTATTCGTTGTGGGAAGTTTGTTGTTCCTAATGGGAGTGTGTTTGTTCCCCTCCAAAAATACGGACGGTATGTCATGAAAATATATCTTCATTCTATTCTTCGCCCATTTATTTATTCTCAATATAAAATTATTTTTACTTCGGCCATAATTTTGCACCAAAAATGAACCTAGTTTCCAGGTCCCTACCAATAAATTGTTTTTGGTATTTCTCAATGTTAGCACAGATTCTTAATTTCTTGCATACTGGATGTTATAAAACAGCGTTCAAGACCTACCTTATATATTGATTTTTTAGTTCTTATTAAACAAAATTGCAAAATGCAATCGCTGCATGAATAGCAATTAGAAACTTATATCAACAACACAATTTCTTATAAATAAGCCACAGCATCCTTAATGCATGCTAGGATTGATTTTATCATTTGGATAAATAAAATGAATTGCCAAAGTAAACTGTACTGGTTACCAGTTACATTGTCAGACTATCCAAAAAGTTATAAAACCTGATAAAAAGTTCCAGTAGTTACAATTCCTGTTTTTGTTATAATTACTTTGTAGAGGATGAAAAAAATCAATTTTTTTAAAAAGTAAATAAAAAATATTTTTTTCTTCAAACACAATCTATTATTAAATAATAATTCAAATTACATTCCTACAAACTTTTTTAAAATAACTTGGTAAAATTATGTTAAAAATTCGTGTTATTAATGCTAAAAAGATTTAATACAGAATCATTTGTATATTTTTACTTAGCCGAGCAGTCTGAAACAAATATCAGTTACAATAATAATTGAATTAATGACTATTGCTGACGTTGCAGATAATATATAAGTTGGACTCGAATCGCCAAAAATTTTAAACATTGGAGATGTTCCGTAATAAATTTGTTTACATGCACTTTAGGTTTTATATAAATCTCAATTTTTCAAATAAGATTCGATTAGATATTCATTGTCGTAAATATTTCATTACATTTACGATACACATGTTTTAACGTTTCACCACATACTTCTTCATGGGCCTAAGCTGAAGATTTTTGGTAATTATTATAAAGACAGGTTTTATTAGCACAAAACAACGTTCGCCTCATTTAATGTAATTCCAAACAGCCGCAGATAAATCTATTAACATTTTTGTTTTAATGTTGTTTTTTTCTTTTTATTGCTGTTTAAATTGTAAAAATGACTGTTTATGATGATGATGTTGTTGTTGTTGTATTATGATTGGCAAAATCTTCAATTCAGTTTTGATAGGTGAAGGTTTGGTGGATAACCGTTATAGTACGTCCTTTGGCAGGCGTTACACTGGTGGTCACACGGTCAACAATGATTTAGCTCCAGAGGAGGATTCACCCCTGCAATCGAAAATATCCAGTACGTCTTTGGTTTGATATTTTGAACAGAAACTAACACATAAAAACACACACTTTGTTTATTGTATTCGGTGGCACATCTTAGCATAATTTGATTCTTTATGTGAATATTCGAAATTCTATGTATTTTTTTTTTATATGAAAACTATTTGCAAACAAATTCCTATATCAACATCATCTCATTTTGGAATATCATTTCGACCGAGTGGTTTCTCATTTTGGATCACATGCACACACACCAAACTATATGTACAACATACACACATCTAAACTCTGTAGAACCTCGTCTGCTTTGCCTGTCTATTGTTGTTACTTTTATGTCCATGTTACAATGTTGTTGGCACAACGGTAGCTTTCAAAAAAAAAAAAATATATATATTTAATATATATATATATATATATATATATATATATATATATATATATATATATTTCTCTCAGAAAATGAAAAAACAAACAAAATTAAGTAAGAATATATATATATATATTCTATATATTCTTACTTAATTTTGTTTGTTTTTAAGTACATTTTCTGAGAGAAATTTCCTATTAACAAATGTAGTTTTTTATACTTGTATTTTTTATACTTTGTACTTTGGCTAAACAATAAAAAGGGATTTTTTATAAAGTCTTATAGTTTTTAGAATGTTTACTTTTATTTACTAATCATGTTGACGCTTAGTTAATAATGGGCCAACTAATGTAAAACACATCTTTGGAGTAAAATATATTTCTATTTTTTCAGGTTTCTATAGATAAAAACAAAAAAAATCAGATATTTACATATATATCTTGTTTTCATAAATGTTACTTGTTTTGTTTTAGACCTAATGCTTTGTATTAAATAATTTTTCAATTTAAAGTAGAATTTGCAGAATGTTTATTTTTCATTCTTTAAACTTCTAATACCATGGATAAACTTACGTGGAACACTTCTTTGGGTCTAACATACAATATCTTGTAGTCCTGATTTAAAAAGCAATTTTTATCGTTTCCTTTTGAACTTGTTCGTATTTGATTAGCGCTTTTCTGACAAGTTTATTTGTATTTATATAAAAACCAAAACACAAAATGGAATGGTTCTATTTCCATTACCGCGTTCTCTACATCAAACAAAAAGACTTGCATTCTGTAAATAGGAAGGTATTAATGGTACTATGTTAGAGTATGATAACATTTCTTTATTTGCTGAGGTTTCTGTAGGTAAAATAGAAGAATCGGGGACGATTCTATAAACTATTTTGATTAGTGATTTAAAAAAAAACTAAAATTCAATTTTCACCATGCTTGCATTCGAAATATGAAGGACAATTTAAAGAATATCAATAAATGCTCACCTCTATTAGTAACACGTACACTTAAGATGTATGTTTAGTTCTGCAATCTGATTTTATAAAAAATGCAATGTATATTTTTCATTGGTCATGCGTTTCGCCAAAAAAGTACAGTATATCTTGAAATAAGTGTTATTTTTATTTTTTTCTTATATTTTACTCTGATGCTAAAGGCTTTCTTTTCTAACAATCGCTTTGTATACCTGTTGCCTATCCTCATGTCTGTATAAATGAAACTGTGATATTGTCCGTTTTTCATGTGAAGTGATTGTCTTTGATCAGCAGGTTTTCTAAACCTTAAACATATTTTATAATATGTTGACTTCTTCCTCCGCCAGAAAGAATGATGCCTTTCAATAAATGTATTGCTTTCATCAAAATTGTTGTTAGTTGTTGTTGTTTGAAGTCTTGAGTACATCCCTAGAAGATAATGAATGGCATTGCCAATATTGTAATTTTATGTTGTATTCTTATTTCTTTACACAGCTGATGGCAATGAAGTTGATGGGCCTCATCATGATGGCATTGATGTCGTAATCGAATCCGATTCTGGCTACTTTGAACACTTGGGTGCTAAAACTGAAAAATGCCTTGAGGAATTCTTCACGGCTTGGGGCAAATTGTTTGCCACATATCCATGGCTAACTTTGCTGGGAGGTTTGGTGGTTGTCGCTGCCCTAGGTAGTGGCATAAAGTTTCTACATGTCACAACAGATCCCGTGGAATTGTGGGCATCACCTCAGTCCCGATCTCGCGTTGAACGAGAATTCTTCGACTCAAATTTCCAACCCTTCTATAGGTTGGAACAGATTATTATCAAGGCCGTGGATTTGCCAGATATTGTGCACAACACCTCAAATGGACCCCTTCAATTCGGCCCAGTCTTTGATAAACAATTCTTAATAGATGTCTACAATTTACAAGAGGATATCAAAAATTTGGGCAAGGACATAGAAAATGCCACAATGCTGAAGGATATATGTTATGCTCCTTTAGTGACTGGTGAGTCGGTTCCAGTAGAAACATCCAATTGTGTGGTCCAATCGATTTGGGGTTATTTCAAAGACGATTTAGAACGCTTAGATGACGAAGATGAAGATAATGGTTTCATGGTAATCGATTTTTTTTATTTTTGAAATACTAAATTAACTAATGGTTTTCTTTTATACAGGTCACCTACTTGGACGAACTGTACCAGTGCATAAGTAATCCATATTTATGCTTGGCGCCTTACGGCGGCATTGTAGATCCAGCCATTGCTCTCGGAGGATTCCTTAAGACTGGGGAACAACTTGGTCCTGAAACCAAATACGAACGAGCGAATGCATTGATATTGACCTTCTTGGTTAGAAATCATCATGATAAAGAAAAACTGGGACCCACATTAGAATGGGAAGAACGTTATGTGAATTATATGCTTAATTATACAAAAAATCGCATGAGCAAACACATGGACATAGCCTTTACTTCTGAGAGGTCTATAGAGGATGAACTGAATCGCGGATCGCAATCGGATGTCCTAACCATTTTGGTGTCATACTTAATAATGTTCGCTTATATAGCCATCTCATTGGGACACGTACAGGAGATAGGACGTGCATTTATTGACAGCAAGATAACATTAGGTGTTGGTGGCGTCATAATTGTGTTGGCCTCCGTCGTGTCCTCGGTCGGTATCTTTGGTTATATTGGTGTTCCGGCCACGTTGATCATTGTGGAAGTAATACCATTCTTGGTGTTGGCTGTTGGTGTTGACAATATTTTTATTTTGGTGCAAACCTATCAACGTGACGGTCGCAAACCCGATGAGACTCACGAAGAGCATATTGGCCGAATACTTGGTCGTGTGGGACCTTCCATGCTCCTGACTTCGGTCAGCGAAAGTTGCTGCTTCTTTTTGGGAGGACTTTCTGATATGCCGGCCGTAAAGGCATTCGCAATGTACGCGGGAATGGCTCTTTTCTTTGACTTTCTTCTGCAAATTACTTGTTTCGTAAGTCTATTGACTTTGGATACCAAACGTCAAGCGGAGAATCGTTTAGATGTTTGCTGTTTTATACGTGGCAAGAAGACTGATGCTGCTCCCATAACTGAAGGCCTACTCTACAAGTTCTTTAAGAGTGTGTACGTTCCATTCCTGATGAAGAAAACTGTTCGTGTTATCGTCATGATCGTATTCTTCGGTTGGCTTTGTTCCAGTATAGCCATAGCACCACGCATTGAAATTGGATTGAATCAAGAGCTTTCCATGCCTGAAGATAGTTTTGTGCTACATTATTTCCAATCGTTAAACAAGTACCTGAGCATTGGACCTCCAGTTTATTTTGTGTTAAAATCTGGACTTAACTTTTCAACCACTTTTGACCAGAATTTAGTATGCTCGGGTCAGTTCTGCAACGATGACAGCGTTATAACGCAGATTTATTTGTCGAGTAAACGTTCGAACGTGACGTATATTGCTAGGCCTGCATCAAGTTGGATTGATGACTACTTCGATTGGAGTCAAGCATCATCATGTTGTAAATACCATCCTGAAACTGGTGATTTTTGTCCACATCAAGGTAAGTTGATTAATATACATTATATTATGAGGATGAAATTTATATATTAGGCTAGGAAATGTCCGCTACTTTGTATGCGGAAATATGAATGTATATTAAGTGGATCTGGGACGTGAAAATTATTAAATAAAAGACCACCATTTCAAGATATAAATTGAGTCTCTAATTTCAATACACATCGAAAATAGTTGCTTTGCATATGTTAAATTCATACGTATACACAAAATGGTACTTTTCTGTCTAATAAATTTCAAAAATGGGTGCATATTTTTTTAGCTTTGTATTCTGCTTCATTTATAAAATATTACTTAATTGCATATATTTCGCAGTGATCTTTTTACCGAATTTCATACCTCTTTTCCTACTCTATATATTTCCCAACAACGTTTACAAAATTCGGCACCATTTAGTACAGTTCTTAAACTTTCCAAAACCATATACTCATGTCAACCATATTTCCACGAATTGATTCTCATACTAAGTTTCATTTTAGTATTTATGGTATACGTATTGTTCGAATTTAAAAAACTCTAGTTTGTCTATCCTACATAAGATCAAAAACTATCAATCCAAATTTCATATTTCTAGCCCTATTCCTTCTCCAAATACTAAAGTTAGTACTATTTTGTACTTTTCGCACTATTTAGCACGTACATCCAACTCCTCCGCCAAGTATCAACCAAAACGCACAAAAGTTCATACTAGACTTCCAACTCAATCCCTTACCCAAAAACCAAATTGAGGACTTTTTAGTATGTACTACCAAAACCACTTCCAAAATTCAACCCTAAACAGTAATAGTAATGCCAAATTTTAGATTTCAAGCGGTATCTATTCACGCAATAACAAATTTAGTACCATTCAGTACCTTTCGTGCACATTAGTACAAATTTCCAAAACTACCTCCATATCTCAATCCTACACTCCGACAGTAATCTTATTTCCAAATTTCAACGGGTATCATATTTAGTACCATTCAATATTTCAAGATTCTAGCTTCAGCCGTTTCGTTTGGGCGGCGATAAATCATTAAGTCAGCCAGTCAATTACTTGACTCTTTTATTAATTAAGATATAAAATATCTATGATGTTTAAAAATCCATCGTTTTATAAACGGATTTACAGGTTAGGTAAGTTGATGGATGTTTAACGTTCTGTTTTACCTAGAGATAAATCGTGACACCATATCCATTTTTTCCGCCAAATCTTTGAAGTTACTCCGCGATAGAACTTAACTAGTTTGTCAATGAAGTAGCAAAGTGGAAGCGTAAAACCAGGGGCCTAATTACGGCATCCGAATCGTATCGACATGAATTATGACTTGAATTAATTGTTGGTATTATTGCATTAGATCGTAATTTAGTATTGAATTTATCGATTTTGTTACATTTGGCAATGTCAAATTTACCATCTTTAAGAATAAACAAAACATGTTATTTATTTGGTGAAAAAGTGAAATTTTGCAAAAATGGATGAGGAATTGTGTTTTTTTATGTCATCGTCGGATTCAGAAGATGATTTCAATGTAAACATCTTAGGAAAACAAATCCGTGATAAAAGCAATTCTTTATCTTTGCAAGAAAATATGTAAGTACACTCTTTTAATAAACCACAACCGCTGTTATAGTTTTTCTTCACATTGAAGGTTTAAACAATGCTTTCGTGTTTCAAAAGGAAGCTTTTAAATATATTTTGTCAGAACTGCACTTTACTGACCATATGTCAATAGCTGTACTACCTACTCTACACTATCACTTGTGCTTAGCGGCAGCTTCCAGCACTGTATCGGGAACGACTTTTTGGTTGGTTTGAGCCAAAGTTCTTTGTGCAGAATCGCAGACCGACTTTTAAAATAAATGGAGAAGAAGTTGTGTCACAAAAAAATAACATTTCGATTGGAAGAGTCGGCAAAATGAAAAGAAGCTTTTGTGTCAAATCATAGTAATTATTCAATTATTTAATACAGATTTTAAAAATGAGGATAAATATTGAATAAATGAAAACAACTTGTGGCATGCAAATTTGACAGGAAGCGGACATAGCCTCAGGGCTGTTTTTCTTTAGTTTTACGAAGCTGTTCTACCTCCTTATTGTACCATGGGTGGAGCTATATCTTGGATGAGTCAAAGGACACCAATTGTGTTAACTTCAACAACTGAAGCACAAATTATGGCTGCAAGTTAAGCCACAAAAGAATTCATATGGCTCAAAAGACTTCCCAAGGATGTAAACAATTATTATTGTACTCCAATGATAAGAATTGACAATACTGCGGAAATTCGCCTATGAAAAGGTCACAGAAGGTATAATGTCAACATGTTAAGTTTCATCTGAAAATCACTTGCAGATCTAATGACCAAACCCCTACCGAAGCCTCGATTGCAATGCCTATGTAACCGTTTAAATATCAATTAATTAAACAAGGGAAAGTGTTGAAATATGTGTTTAATAAAATAATATCTACTGTACACCCCATAGTGGACATTATAGTACATTACATAGTACTCTTGATATTTATGTAAATGTGTTCTGAAAATATTTCTTCATTTTTCATGACGTATTCAATGAAAATATTCCAATCTAATAACAATTGCGGAATGCTGAAAAATCTTGTGTAATTTTAAATATCAACATTTCGTATTAGATTTTCCTTACGTACCTTTCTATACTATTTTCACCCTGATCAGATTCAAAAACAATGTCGGTAACAACCCCAAGTTCATAACATTAACTTGATAATGGAAATCTTTATTGGTATTTGAGGCTAACAATATTCTCTGAATTCATCAAAATCATTTTATTTATCGGAAATATACACCATACGGAGGCTCAACAGTTTCTTTATTGAATTGAAAATGGCCTAATAAAACGCAAACAATTTGTTCCTATTTTCAAAGTATTATTTTCCGCGATGCTCGTGATCAGTTTTTTGATACGAAATATAAAAAAACTAAGTTATTCCGGGGTACACTTAAAATCGAATGTCAGGCAATTGGAAGCAAAAAAACTGTGAATCTGTATAGATTACATAAGCAATCAAAAATGTTACTTCAAAATATCAACGTCATTTAAAGAATAAAGTTTGGAAATTTTTAAAATAGAGAAAAGAAACCGAAAAAAAACATTAAGAAACTCGTTTGGCTCAACCCATCTTTACCCAAATGTTTTACATTAGTATAGCCATAGCTTTCATTCAAATTCATTTTTAATGAAAAAATTCTCCATTTGATCAAAAAATATTAAATTTACATAAAATTCAATCAAATGCGCGAATTATAAAGCTGTCAAATCTGTAACAATATTGCCCATATACCCGTTGTATTATGTGTAGATATTAAAATTGTAAGTACCTCCATAGATTAATTTTTTTGAGTCTTACTCCCCGACGCCCGAAATTGTAGCGAAACGTTCAAAAGTTGAAAATTGTTCGGCTTCACTTGACTTTTGAGTTTGGTCTAGTAAGCAACTTTTTTTTTACCAGATGGAGGGGTTTTAAATGTTTAACAAAAAACCATTAAAATTATTTGTTTTTATTATTTAAATTCGTTGCTAATGTACGTGTTCTTTTTTTAGATTATTCCTGCGAAAGCTGTGTAATCAATCGCAACAGCTTGCACCGCCCGGATGAAAAAGATTTTGGTAAATATTTACCATTCTTTTTACAAGACAATCCTGATGATAATTGCGCCAAAGCTGGTCACGCTGTGTATGCAGCCGGCGTACGTTATAATACCATGCCTGACACTAATCAAACTAACGTCGATGCTTCCTATTTTATGGCTTATCATACCATTTTGAGAACTTCAGCTGATTACTATGGTGCTTTGCGCTCAGCTCGTAAAATATCGGCTAACATTACGCACATGATTCAAGGACGTCTAATGTCCCAAGGGGTGCCGTTGGAGGAGGCCTTGCAAGTAGAAGTATTTCCATATTCAGTTTTCTACGTATTTTACGAACAATATCTGACAATGTGGCCCGACACGCTACAAAGCATGGGCATATCCGTGTTGGCCATATTCATTGTGACCTTCCTTTTGATGGGTTTCGATATACACTCGTCGCTTGTAGTTGTTATTACAATAACCATGATCGTCATCAATTTAGGAGGAAATATGTACTATTGGAACATCTCCCTAAACGCTGTTTCGCTGGTTAACCTGGTCATGGCAGTTGGCATCTCCGTGGAATTTTGCTCACATTTAGTCCACAGCTTTTCGATATCGACAGAAGGCACCCGGGAGAAACGTGCAGCCGATTGCCTTACGAAAATGGGAAGCTCCATTTTCTCTGGTATTACACTAACGAAATTTGGAGGCATCCTAGTGTTGGCTTTTGCCAAGTCTCAAATCTTCCAGGTGTTCTACTTCCGAATGTACTTGGGAATTGTTTTAATTGGTGCTGCTCATGGCTTAATATTTTTGCCAGTATTGCTAAGTTATATTGGTAAGTAAATGCAAATGCTATTTTATTACGTGCACTACTGAAAGCATTCTTCTCATGATTTATACAACTACTTGCATTGTCTTGTCGTCGCAGTCGTTTTATTAAACCCAATACTAATGTGTAGCGTGTAAAGTTGTGCGAGTTTTTCAAGCCTTCATAGAAGAAATCAAGGAAAACTTGCTAAGACTAACATTTAAAATGTCCATAGGAAAATCCTTAGCTTTAATTGTTTTGTTACTATTCTAACAGTTTTGTAAATATCACAATCAATCATTTGAATTATTCTTGAAGATAACAATACATACATCATATTTTGCATTCGAAACCACTTTCTATCATAACAAATTTAGAATAGATCACAATATGTATAGATTAGAAGTGGCTGTAGTAATCAGGTTATTCCTTTCCTGTGAAACTAAATTTGTTACTAAGATACCTATTTGAGAGAAAAAAACAAAAAACAGTAGGCTTGGTAATCTTGTAAGTGTGAAACCGTCTTAAACATTTAATAACAATTAATGGTGTATAAATGGGTAATAGGTTTCATATGTTTTAGGTTAAAATTAGGGTAAATCTTTATCTTACTTTCGATTTCCAAGGACTTCAAAAAAAAAAAAAAGCGAAATTCAAAGTGCTTGTTGTCGCAATCTAACATAAAACTGAGAACATTTTACACTAACCATATAGCTTAAATTACAAAATGTTTAATTAAATATGTACAATGGACAAGGAGGAGGGTTTGAAGATGATAAATTCTGTAGATTATGGTGTATTTTACTTTCCTTGTTATTACATTTTTAAAACCTCTTGATTTCGATTCAATTTTCATTCTGTGTACAAACAACAAATGTGTTTTTGTGTCCATTATTTACAGGTGCGCCCATGAACAAAGTAAAACTGGAAAATTTTCGTCGTGAAGCATATAAAGTGCAAGAAACATCGCTATCGACTGTAAGATTTTAACAAAATCGACCAAAACTAAATAAAAACTGAAGTCTCTTGATATAAACAAACTCAATACCAAATGAAATAAAACATACAAACGAACTTTTAACTTACCAAAAAAAAAAAAAAAATAATAGAAATACAAATAAAAATAAAAATGCTGTAAGCATTTGCCTTTAAAAGACTTAAAAGAAAACAGATTCACGGATTAAACAAGAAAACTCCAAACAGAAAAAAACATGAACGTATACGCTAAACAGACATCCATAGTTTTTGTGTGTGGATTATGAAACCAAACCAATCTAACAAAAATGCGCATAGAAATGATATGAGTGCCTACTTTAAAATGCCTGCCTGCCTTAATTAATATTGGTTTGCTATTTTTTGATGTTTTCTCTATTCTATTCAATTCACTACTCTACACTATATCACACATACATAAACGCCACCCAACGCCTACACAAAGATAAAAACCAAGCACTCTTCAAATTACAAAACTCTCGTTGTCCTTGATACTGTAGTTTATTTCCGATTACACACTTACACTCATACAAACACTCATATGTTTCTTGAGAAGAATTTTTTTTCATTAATTTTATCTTCTTATTTTTTTGCAATTTAATTTAGTAGTGTTTATTTATTTTTCTTTTTAATATATCAATGGTATGTGTTGTTATTACATTAGTACAATATTTTGCAACAGATTTTAATTTTTTAAATAAAATTTTACAAATCATTAGTGGTGCCCATGTTCCATCCAAGTTAGAATCGTTAAAAGCTAATCGCATTGTGTGTTGAAGAACATATTTTGAAGTACGAATGTTTTCAGCTCAATATTTAGCATTGTAAGTGTGCTGCGTTCATTGTGGGCCTTTAAAACCTGTTTACTTAACTTAAATATAGGTATCACGTGAATATATTCACTTTTTGTCAATTCCAATTAAGGTTTTTTTTTAATGTTAATTTCAAAATGTCTCCATCTTAAATATGTTCACAGTTATGTCCTTAATACTTGTTGTGGCTTAGCATTCCTTATTTATGCATATTAATTCTTTCTTTCGCATGTTCGCCCATGCTAAACAATGTGGAAGATTAAGAAAGGCCAAATTGTCAGATTTGGAAATTTTGGTTTCGAATGGTTTATTAATGCCTATTCTTTAAGGGCATAAAAATTACATTGTATTGAATTGAGAGCGAACTTAAAACCATTACAAATATAATCACAAATTCATATCTTTGTAATATTATAAAACTCAGTTTATATTACAAAATTCAAGAAAGTTTATATTTCAAAACGTTATTTGAATGTCAAAATATTCACAAGTTCCATAGGAAATCTATTTCAACTACCTTATGTCTACGTTTACGCATGCATGGAACTTGAGGACAGTTTAAGTATATATTCTAAATGATACCAACATATGTAAGTCCAAAAAAATGCCAGCTGGGCTGAAAGATCAACAATTTTAAATGCAATGCAATACAATAGTTAAAAGGCAGGGCAGATTGATTAAATTCAAGCCTGAATTTAGAGTCTTGTCCCTTCAAATTATTCACACTTCCTTCACAATGTTTTAATTTCGATCATTGGGTTTTCACAATATCGAGTTCTCAATATTACTAACATCCAGACAAAATATGCCTAAAGAGCCACTCAACCAGCGGCGAAACGCGTCGCATAGTAGCTTTCACTGCAAATTTCAGTTCTTCTAATAAACATATGATCTTCGCCTCAACAAGGCTAATCTCAAAAATAACCAAAATGCTATAATGTATTTTCCTTAAAAATTGCATATTTGAATTTTAATTTGTAAAGAATATAAACTTGTTTAAAATTATTTTGAATATTATTCTAAACAAAGGTACATATAGAAAATCGGCGTGTGTTTGTTTTCACAGTTCCAGGCTACCTCATGGAAACTATTTAGTCAAATGATTCCTATGCCCTACCTTGAAAACTATTGTATCAAGCGTGTATTCAATTTTACCAATTAATACTTGCATGTGTAAATGCAGGGTCAAGTTAACAATACACAATGTCAAGGCTTCAATGAAATTAATCGACCGCAGGAAGTGAAGGATTCTACTTTAAGTTCTTTTTACTCTACTGTCATACATGCATTCAGTTTGTCTTCGAAAATTTGAATTTAAATAAAAACGTACAAATGCTATTATGGTATTATCGAAATAAATATTCTTGTATTTATTTAGATAGTGATATCTGAAGTTCACTTTTTTATAAATTCTATAAACTATAATTTTATATATTAAATAACGTGTTAACGTTATTTACATTCTGTGCCTTAAATCTCTCGAGTATGAAACCTATGGTCTTGGTTAGCTTTTTCAAAAACTCCAACGGCTATGACATTAAACTCTTCTTAGAGTTGCCATTCGAAGTATTGTTTTGAACTGTTTCGTTTTCAATGTTGCGTCATTCAGCCGAGTGCATTTCAGCTTTGTTTCACAAACACTACAAAATAATCGGTTTTGTTTCGTACTTCGAGAAAATACAGAGCGAAACGATTGCAAACGTTTGATATCGTGTATTTTCGTCCGCTGCTGGCGACGCCACTCAATAATCAATAGTTTCATAAAAAGTTTACTCAACTATTGTGATGACCGCATAAATTTAACGAAAGACACATAACTTCTTACAATAATTCGAACTATACTATTTGCTTTGCTTTCCAAAAAAAAAAAAAATAAAAAATTATCATTCTATCATTTTTTACCAATTTTCATTTATTTAAAAGAGCCTAAATTATTTATTTTTTTGCATGTACTGTGTTGTCTAGCGTTTTGTAGGTTGTATGTGCTTTTACACTATCTATTTTCCACATTGAAAAACATCCATCACTAAACTAAAAACTCTTACCAAGCCATAAAACTTTAATTGCGCTAGACATACACAAAACTCTAATGACACATGGACACAAACAAAAACAAATGAAATGATTACGGTCTGAAAAAAATAGTACAATTGTTTTTAATTATTTCTCTTTTTTAACATTACTTTATGTAGGCGTGATGCAAGGTCCCCGTGGAAGATCAACACATAAAATTCGAAACGATCCAACAACATCCACAACCATACCCACCAATACAAACCCCATACCCCACGCAACATTTGCAACAAACGCCAGCTATCATCCAGACGAAGCAATCTTCGACAATGCTAGCAGTTTTTCTCCAATGTATACATCGGCCTCACAATCGTCCTTCGGAAGTGTAAACTCGGTCACAAATCTACAGTCTTCTTCAGTGGGTGGCTACAGACGTATACCAGAAAATTGATGTTCACCTCCTGTCACTGATAGCTCTGTGGTATAGCAATCAATATGGCTGGGCCAAACAAAATCTGTTTATCCTTCACCAAGTATTACGGCCTAAACGAATAATGATACGTTTTTTACATACGAATTGGATCTCTCCGAATAATTGAGCACTGAAATATTTACTTTCCAAATAAAGCAAGCATCCTTTTATTTTTAAATGCATTGCCTTAGATCGAAATTGCTTAAGTGATTATAAATTGTTACAAACTATCTCCCTCCATCCCATTACCCTATTTATAGTATAGTTAGATTTATTTCTATTTATTTTCATTGTTAAATCGTGACGTTTTAAAGGCTTGGAAACATCCACAATATTACATTGATTCCTTATCTGCAAAGGAACCTGTATGCAAATTAATATATATATATATATAATATATATATATATATATATATATATATATATATATATATATATATATATTATTATTATATATTATTATTATATATATATATATATATATATATATATATATATATATATTATATATATATTATTATTATATATATTATATATATATTATTATATATATACATATATATATATATATATATATATATATATATATATATATATATATATATATATATATATATATATATATATATATATATATATATATATATATATATGTTTATATATGGTGTATATACGTATACAGTAATTTATATTCCGGATGGACAATTAATGTGATCGTATCGTGAAGAAAGAACATAAAATACAGCGAAGTAATAAATAAAAGCCTTTAATTGCGTTGTTTCGATAAAAATTTTAGCACTTATTTCATTTTGTACAGTTTAGTGGCATTTTTGTTGCTGATTTCCCCAATTCCAATCAAATCATAAGAGTATTAATGATAAAGGAAAACTTTCCATTCTTATTTTGGCCTTTGTTTCACATAGACTATGTTTTTTTTAGGTTAGCGCGGTATTGAGGTTAGCTTTTGCAATTCTGCCAAATTTCAGGTACTATATAGAATTAGTTGTATTTAATTTCGGATTTAGGTAGAAAAAACTTTGAAACAAATAAATTTAATGAAAGCTGCTATGTTCGACAAAAATCAATCAAAAACAGAACAATAGTTGTGAAGATTCAGTTGCCGATAAAGTTGTCAGGGTAATTGCCAATTAAATCATCGCATTGTCAGAGGAAAACATCAACACACTACAGAGAAGAACTAGTGCTGTAATATGCCGACTTAATGAATAAGCAACAAAAATCACAATTTCATACATAGATGTTTATGTATTATAACACCAATATGAATAACTACAACAAATCTTCATATATATGTCCGTTTTTATAGACCTAAGAGAAACTGAAATTTCCTAAATGTCGTCTACATAAGAACATGCATACATTTATTCGCGAATATCTACACCCACATATATAAATAAATATAGTAAATAAATGAACAAAATCACTACTCTAGCAGGCTAAGTTAACGTCTAAACTAATTCGTGTAAATTGTAAAGAATACAAAACCACTTGAACACTAATGAAAGGAGTTTTTGAATAAATACAATAACAAAAGTAAATATAGATGATACTCACACGTCAACACACACTTGCCATAACGCCTGCGGTGATCAGGGAAATGTTATATTTGGTCCCTTTTTTCTATTGTGCATTTTAATATCAAATTCCATTTAGACAAAAGCAAACTTTAGCTTTCTTGTACATAAGAAATTACAAATTCAGAAATTTGTTCAGTTTTAATAATAGTTATAAATTATGGTTTAAAAATGTAAATATGGCTTGCAATACACTTTTGGATACTGATGACTTTTAGGGTCTGTTTCCGCATGTCTAAAAAATTTTGAAAAAATTGAAAAAACGCATGATATTTTTTTTTTCAATTCATTTCTAAATACAAAAACAGGTCCTGATATACAAAAACTGGTCCTTATTTTTTTCTAAGCTTTGCCGATCACCCACCGACATTTTGGTGAAAATGCTTTGTGGCAAGTGCAATTGCGTGTATGTGTTTGTGTAAGAAATCTCGATGTGGCCTTCAGAATATTTTTTTGAGAATAGTTGGTTTATTTAAATGATTTAACCACAAATAAGTAAATAAATTATAAAAATGAATAAAATAATTAAACTAATCTTAAGTACCTTTTATTACTATTATTACTGTAAAAAAAAACAAACTTACGATAATCACTTAGTTCCACTTATCACTGTTCAGTGAAGTAAAACAAAAACATAGTAACAATATGAATGAGTTATTAAAGGTTAAGGAGACTTTTGTAAAATGCGTGTGTTAATTTTTGTAAATTATCAACAAAATATGAAAAAACTCGATTGTTTATTATTATTTCTATTATTATAGTTAAAGTGGGATTTTTTTTCTTTTTTATATATATCATAACAAATTCCCCTTCAACCATCAAAAAAAAAAAAATATAAATAAATAAAATAATAATAAAAATTAAACGAAGACATGAAACGATATATTTACATTTTTTTGTATTTTATGATTTTTAGCTATTGTTTATCTTATTAAATAAAGGACAAAAATGAATGTGTGATTGTAAAAAAATGTGTTTTTTTTTTCTTACAAAGTAGAAATCAATGGGACAAAAGCTAAACTATACGCAAAACCATTTCAATCGAATATGGTAGTGTTATTCAGTAAATATGTTGCTGGCACAATCATTAGGTACTGGAGATGGCACAATAACAAGGTGTTCTTGCAAATTAAAAAAAAAAAACAGATGTAATGTCAAAATTAGTTAACACTTTGCTTATCTTTTGTTCTGTGATCTCGATCCAATCAACCGGTTTGGAATGGGGACCTTAAAGCTAGGCATTTTGTGCATCTATAGTATAGACACAGTTCTCCGGTTTTTTGCGAGAAACACGGACTGTTCCAACTCCACTTTCACAACTTAATGAATCATTTGGCGTTACAATATTGTTACGAATGTAATTGCAGATTTTGTTTAATTCATATAGTTTTTCTTTAATTTGAAATGTTGCAAAAATTGTACAATAAGTTTTTATTAGGCAGTTACTTTATTTGAACAACCACTGAATTATTTATACAAGTGTTTACTACGACTACTACATTCTAAATCTATCGATGTTCCATCTGGTGTTCCACATGGAAGACATCTTGGGTTCCAGTTCTATTTTTATTGTTTGTTAATCTACTCTAATAAATTCAATTAAGTTTTCCAAATTATAAATGTACGCTGATGATGTAAAATTATTCATGACTCATAAATCTCAAATAAATGTTGACTTTCTGCAAAGAGTTGACTAATATTAAATCATTATTGTATAAATGGGTAGGTGTTATTAACAGTAGATTCCTTCACTGATCTAGGGCTTCTGATAGACCCCAAATTAAATTTTAATAACCATATTATTTCTATGTTAAATAAAACATGTCTTAGGGTTTATTAAACGTTGGACCAAAGAATTTCCTGATCCATATGTAACTAAACAATTATATTCGTCTCTTGTTAGACCAATATTAAAATATGGTTCCTCTGTGGGGGACCCTCAATATACTCTCCATTCCGATGAAATCGAATCCTTACAGAAGCAATTCCTGCTTTTTGTTTTAAGAGAATTAAGTTGGAACAATAATCTCTTAATCCCGAGCATGCTATACACATATGATATTTTATATTTTGCTACTAAGTAACTTATTATTCCTCAGCAACATGGTTTTCGAAAAAACAAGTCTACAATATCAAATCTATCAATTTTCACGGACTATTGTTTGTCTGGCATGGAAGAGGGTTTGCAAATTGATGCAGTATACACAGACTTTTCAAAAGCTTTTGACAAAATATAGCATTTTCAGATTAAATGAAACCTTTTGCAATTCAAATGAAACTTTTTGCAGCGGAAATGAAACCTTTTGCAGTGGAATTGAAACCTTTTGCAGTGGAAATGAAACCTTTTGCAGCGGGAATGAAACCTTTTGCAACCGAAATGAAACCTTTTGCAACCGAAATGAAACTTTTTGCAAATCAAATGAAACTTTTCGATTTTTAGAAGGAAAAATAACAAAACATTTTTATTTTTAGTAGGTTTAAAATTAAATCAACTAATTATAACTAATATATAGTTAAAGAGGAATTTTTATTGATTATTAATATCTATGTTTTTATAATTTTTTTAAAGCTTCCATAAAACACAAGTGTAGATGCAGATAGATTGAAAAAGTTTTTCAAGGCATTTTTTTTTCAAAGGACCCGAATTAGGTACCTTTTTATAATCTCCTCCATGGAAAGGAGGATATATTAAATTTGTCATTCGGTTTGTAACACCTCTAAATTTTCGTCGTAGACCCCATAAAGTATATACAATCATGATCATAGTTGATTTAATGATTTCCACTTATCTGTCTATTGAAATCACGACTGCTCTATCTCCATAATCAATAAAGCTGCGAAGCGGGAATCCTTTATTAGGTAAGATTAATAGTATACTATAACTATAAAAAATTGTGGTAAAGCTTAATTTCACATTTCAGTCCTGGCCATACCTATAAAGGCCAAAATTTGTTTAAATTTCTCTTTTTAGCGTTAAGCATTTGGAATTTAATAATATGGAAGCATTTTATATCAAATCAATAAAGAACCATTTGTTATTACAATAATTGAAAATTTAAGAAATAATATAAATAAATGTAGATATTTATAATCAATAAAAATTCCTCTTTAACTATATATTAGTTATAATTAGTTGATTTAATTTTAAGCCTACTAAAAATAAAAATGTTTTGTTATTTTTCCTTCTAAAAATCGAAAAGTTTCATTTGAATTGCAAAAGGTTTCACTTAATCTGAAAATGCTATACCTCACAAACTGTTATTAGTAAAACTTTTTTTCCTGGGCACACAGTCTTCATTTCTTGAATGGTTTTCTTCTTACCTAGACAATAGAGTGTGTATTGTCCGCATTGATAAATTTGAATCATTTCCTTATGTTCAGATATCGGGTGTCCCACAGTGTAGTATTTTGGGACCATTACTTTTTATTCTGTACATAAATGATGTTTCTGTTTCTTTATGCGGATGGTTTCAAAATATTTTCTGAAATACGGCCTTTTTCTAATATATTTTTTATGCAAGAAGATCTTGACCGTTTTAATGACTGGTGTTCTATAAATAGTCTAAAGGTTAACCTTAGTAAG